CTACAATTCGTCCCAGGACCTGCCGTCCCTGGTCCTGGATTTCGTGAAGTTGCATCCACTGATGGCTCGGCCCGTGGTCCCCAGCCGCGGACGGCCCCTGCTGCTCAAGCGCCACGTCCACTACACACACCTTGCGGGGATTCCAGTTAGCACTCCTGCTGGACCCACCTATGACCTGCTCTTTCTGGCCACAGGTGCTTCTGACCCAAATCCCTGATTCCCCCTGGGCCAATCCGATAGCTCCTGGCATGACTGTCCAGACCCTGTGTCCCTGGCCTCACAGGTCCTGAGCTGTCCCCACTGGGCCTCCTGTGAGGGGCTGAGAGTGACCCCGTTGTTGGGGCCTGACCCTCTGCCCTTTCCATGCTAGCTGATGGCTGGATCCACAAGGCCGTGGTCCTGGCCTCTGGAATGCACATTATTGAAGAGACACAAGTGTTCAGGCAGCCCCAGTCGGTGGAGAATCTAGTCATCTCTCTGAGGCAGGTAGGCTGACTGCTGACCCTCAGTATGTCCTTTCTGGAACGGGAGGGAATGGGGAGGCCATCCAGGGCTCTATCTGCAACTGGGAGTAAGGCTGTGGCCGACCAGCTGTCCTCTTTGGCTCCCAGCACAGCCTGTATGTGGGCGCCCCTAGTGGGGTCATCCAGCTGCCCCTGTCCACCTGCTGGCGATATCGTTCCTGCTATGACTGCATCCTGGCCCGTGACCCCTACTGTGGCTGGGACCCCAGCAACCTTTCCTGTGTGGCAGCCACCACCATAGCAAACAGGTCCCAGGGTGGCCCATGGGAGTAGGGCGGGTTACCCCTCCCAGGGCAGAGGGAGGCTTGCCGTAGGGAACGTGGGAGGCTGGTTACTGCAACAACCCTACCCTTTCACTGGGAGCCTGAGCCCATTTCCCTGCGTTCACGGGTCCTAATCTCCTGTCCCCAGAACATCACTGATACAGGACATAGAGAGGGGAAATCGAGGCTGTGAGGGCAGCAGGGATCCAGGTAAGAGAAACTCACAGAAATGTGTGGACCTGTCCTCTGCTACCGTCACCCGCCTGGGCACAGTTCTGTGTCAGCAGCTGCATTTGTGTGCTCTCAGTAAGGCTGACCCAGGACTGAGGCTACGCACAGGGAGAGCTCAGCGTGTTTACTTCCCACACAGACTGTAAATGTGTAACAGATTCAAGGCGGCAAGTGTTGTGCTGAGGTGTAGCTCAGCAGTAGGCCGCTTACCTCACAGGCGCAAGGGCCTGGGTTTGACTTCCAGAACCACCCCCCACCAAAAAACATGATATGTCTTGTCACCTCTAGAACTTATAGCTGGTGAGGGGTGTGGACAGTGAATCGCTCACACAAGTAATTAACTGTAATTATTAAGGACTGCAACCATGACAAGGTTCAGAGGGCTAACAGTTACTTCCCTGAGGAAGATCTAGTAACTGCACTGATACTTGAAGGAAGGATAAAAGTTAATAACCACAGCCAATGTGTGCTGTTTCTCACGTGCCAGGCACTGAGCAGAACACTTCCATGTGTGGGTGCATTTATTCGGAGCACCATGGGAGAGCTATCATCGTTATCCCCACGCAAGCCAGCTACTGAGCAGCAGGGTCACCAGACTGTTTGTGCTTCCATCCCTACGCTGTGCTGTCACTGGTCAGCCGGCTGCGAGAGGGCTTGCGTAGGGGATGACAAGCAGAGGGAGCTGCAGGGTCGGAAACAAAGGTGACGAAGACAGAAGTAAGGCAGTCTCCCGGCCTGACTTGGGCAGCTGAGTAGATGCTGGTGCGTCACTGTTGAACAGCTTAAAGCGCCTATTTGGGAGCAGGGAGTGAGGTGCCAAAAGACCATGTTCGAGACAATCACTCAGCTGGGAGGTCTCTGCTGGACACAGACTAGGCATCCTTGGCAGATGGCGGGACTTGAATCCACACAAGAGGATGCGAGTGTGGAAAGAGAAGGGAAACGGACTTTCGCGCACGAGGGAGGGGGTGTGCCCAGACTGTCACTGTGGCTGATGGCACTTAGCAGTGAAGGGGATGGCTTGCATTTCTGGGGCCCTCCCCGACAGGGGCAGGTTCTGAGCTCTACACCCTCTCCGCAGGGCCACCACCACCACCACTGAAGACCCGCTCAGTTCTCCGGGGTGACGATGTCCTCCTGCCCTGTGACCAGCCATCCAACCTGGCCCGGGCCTTGTGGCTTCTCAATGGGAGCAAAAGCCTGAGCGATGGGCAGGATGGCTACCGTGTGGGTGTCGATGGGCTGCTGGTGACAGACACACAGCCCGAGCACAGTGGCAGCTACAGCTGCTTTGCTGAGGAGAATGGCCTACGAACCCTGCTGGCCTCCTACAGCCTCACTGTCCGGCCAGCCACTCCTGCCCCGGCTCCACAAGCCCCCGCGACAAACGAGGCACGCCTGGCCCCGGACGTGAGGCTGCTCTACGTGCTCGCCATCGCTGCCCTTGGGGGCCTCTGCCTCCTCTTGGCCTTCTCCCTCCTCTACGTGGCTTGTCTGCGCGGAGGGGGACGAGGTCGGCGACGGAAGTACTCGCTGGGTCGGGCCAGCCGGGCAGGGGGCTCTGCCGTGCAGCTGCAGACAGTCTCAGGCCAGTGTCCTGGAGAGGAAGACGAGGGTGAGGACGGGGAAGGGGCTGAGGGCCTGGAAGGGAGCCGCCTCCAGATCATCAAAAAAAACCACCGCCCCCGCTGCCCCCGGCTGAGTTGACCAATGGACTGGTGGCACTGCCCAGCCGGCTTCGAAGGATGAATGGCAACAGCTATGTGCTGCTGAGGCAGAGCAACCACGGCACGCCGGCGGGGCCCTGCTCCTTTGCTGAGGAGCTCAGCCGCATCCTGGAGAAGAGGAAGCACACGCAGCTCGTAGAGCAGCTAGACGAGAGCTCCGTGTGAGCCTGGCCCCCCAGCAGATGCTCTTGCTGCCTGCTCCGGGCTGGGCCGCCGCCGGCACAGCCACCCCTCCACACCCTCACTCCGTGCCCTTCTCCCAACTGTGGCATCTCAGTAGGGCTAGCCAGTCAGGCCAGCCAAAGCCCCTCCTCAGTCTCAGGACCCACCTGTGAGCAGCCCAGGCCCACCGGTGCTCCTCAGAGGTAGGTGCTCCCTCGGGGCCAGGTACTGCAGACCCAGACCCAGTTCCTGATTCCTTAACCGAAAGCTTTGGAGGTTTGCGTCCTCCTGTCCTATGGTCTGCCCAACCTCTCCTCTTCCAGGTAGGGCTCTGCAGGTCCAGATGGCCGCAGTTTCACCACCCTCTGCATGTCCTTGTGTGCTGGATACTCCTGAAGCCACTCAGAACCTCTGCCAGCCACTCGAGCCCTGTGCACACTCACGTGCATGTGAAGAACGTTGTCAGCTGGGCTGCCGGGCCCCACCCCCATGTTCTCCCTGTGCATTCTTGTGCTTCGCCCTTCTGGATTGGGGGTACCCTCCTGGTTGTCACGTCCCTATCTTCCCCAGTCCCGTGTGGTGACCCCATTGGCAAGGGCTTGGGAACAGGCCCGTCTGGGAGGTAAGGTGGCATCATTCCCCTCTTTTTTGGGGGGGAGTTCAAACTCAGGACCTTGCACTTGCGAGGCAGTCAGCGGCACCACTGAGCTAAACCCCTGGCCCTCCTCTTCTTCCTGTGGAGCCTTTTCGTGCCTGCTTACCCATTCTCGTGGGTCACACAGAATAGTGACAGGCACCTCCCTTCCCATGCATCTGTGCTACATGTGCTAACATTCCACCCTCATGCACCTTCTGAGCCTCCCCTTGCTGCCGGCCTTGTGTCTGTCTGTTGGGTTCGGTCCATGGACATTTCAGAGGGAGATTCCCCCTCCCATTTAGCTGTCCTTAGAGACCATTCCCTGGATGGGTGACCAACAATGCACTCATTGAGCCAGCCTCCCTTTTGGGGACCAAGCATTGTTTCCCCTAGACCACAGCAGGGGAAAGAACAGCCTCACCTAGCACACAAAGCCCATTCTTGGAACTATGCAAAGGGCAGAGGCTGGGAGTTTGGATGCTTGGCTCCCATTCCTGTCCTACCTCACCGGGGCACTTTCAAGGTCCAGGGGCCTCTGAAGTCTCCAGGCCCATATGGGACAATCAGTCCAGACTGAGCTTCCCCATTTCCTTTGGGTGAGGATGACTGTTATTTTTGTAGCTGAGAACGTGGAATCCCACAAGTTTTTACTGCCCTTCACCCAACCTCTCCCACCTCCAGCCCACAATGAATGTATTTATTGTGAGAATGGCTGTATTTTAGGAATGCCCTCACTCAGCCCCAGGTGGGTGGAACAGGCATGTGACACTGGGGAGCCCGGGCTCAGCTCCTCCCCTGATGCTGGTTAATAAATACCTTTCCCCAAAGCTGTGTAGTCTGCTTGGTCCAAATAGCCTCCCTTCACCAGAGCAGGTGCTGTAGGACTTCTGCATCGCGTTGGCTCTCTGACCTCCATAAAAACCACTTTTGTCGCCAACTGGTAACCTTGGGCTTCCCTCCTGGCTGTGCTGATACAGTCCTCCTATTAAGGCTCACGCTACTTCTTGACCATGGTGACAGTAAGAAAATTACAGCTCAAGATTTCACACAAGGGTTTCTAGGTATTTTACTTCCTGGTTCTCTCCCTCATTGTCCCTTGCCTTGAGATGGCCTTCTCCATGTTGCCCAACTGGCTGAGAAATTAGGACTACAGGTGTGTATGTCTCATCGTGCCTGACTGCCTGCCTTTTAAAAACCAGGCCTAAACTGGGCACTGTGGGTGCACGCCTGTAATCCCAGCACTCAGGAGGCTGAGGCAGAAGATCGCTGGGAGTTCAAGACCAGCCTGGGCTACATAGTTCCAGGTCAGTCTCAACTACATAGTGAGACCTTGTGTCAAAAAACTAAAGAAAAACCAGGCCTAGAAGATATTCCTTATTTATCAGCCCTCCTCCTCTTTCCTAGGCTGCTTACCAACACCTCCCACCCTTGCGTGCAGTGGGAGACATGGATTTGTTTCTATACAAAGGGGGTGGTGGTGATAGGAGTAAGGATGCAGCTGGGACCAGGGAAAGCTTGTTACCAGGGATCTGGTCTGAGAATCACTCCCTTGGATTAGTCACACTGCTTGTCACTGACCACTTGGAAGCCTTATATGCTGTTTCTGGTTTAAAATAATAGAAAGTGGGGCTCATGCTTAATATACACAAATTTGGAAGAGCTCATGTGTAAACTTGCATAACTTTAATGACCTCACTTTTCAACTCTACACAAACATTCACACAGATATAAAAGTGTCTTGCCTAAAGCCTGGTCACAGCAGAGAGCACGCTCTAGATCAGTGACTGTGGAAACAGAACACTGAGTATTCTTTAGAAGCCAGGCTTGAGGACACCCACCCCCAATGTTTTGTAATAAGCATTATCAATTTTTATCTTTTTGGAGACAATGTCTCACTGTGTAGCTCAGTGTGGCCTCTAACTCACAGGGATCCTCCTGCCTCAATTTCCCAAGTGCTGCAATTACAGGAACGTGCCATCACACATGGCTTCAATTTGGATTTTAGAAAACAAGAACCTTGTACAACATTTGAAGGCCTCTCATCTCAGGTTTCAGGAATGCCTACTAATCCATCGGGGAACACAAAAGGTCACAGCCCTTGCAGTGGCCCCGGAAAGCAAACAGGCAGCTCTCTATCCCAAGCAAGACCTCTGGTGTCAAGTCACTATTGGAGGGTGGTGGTGGTGGCTCCTTCTCTGCCTGAGTTTGGGATCCAAGAGGAAGAAACACTTCTGTGGGGCAACAGTCCAGCCTGGGTTGGAGTAGGTGGGGCAATTTACTGTGCTTGCCCCTGATCTTGGAGCTCACGGGGGCGCAGCCCTCCGAACGTCGTTGGTTTGTTGGTGAAGGGGTGCCACTGGCCCTGGATGCTCGGGTTATCGGTGTGGAAGGGCTTGCGGATGCGGATCACGTCCAGGCCTGACTGGTCTGCCAGCTTCTGCACCAGCGTGAGGATCTCCTCAACCGATTTGCAGTGGATGCTTTCCTCGCGCACCGCCCCGTTAACTGCGAAAAGGGAGGCGGGAGAGCGCGGAAGCCAACGGGCCGGTGTCGGACGTGGGGACC